CAAAATACTCTCTGTACGCCGGCCAAGGTAGTTTTTCTTTGTTCTTATCAACATTCATATCCTTGGTAGCACTAGCACATTGCTGGCTCGTTGACGGTTGCGCTGGGTTCATAAAGTCCCTGGACATATTTCAGTTTGTACCCGGCAAGCCAAAAACAAACCCAGCGCAAACAGCAGTAAATTTTGCCTCGGCTGTAGACACTACATCGGATTAATGGCGCAAATCAATATACAAAACATGCGCGGTGCGGAGTGGCGGCGCTAATCAAAATACAAAACATTCGCAGTGCCCTCCGCGTGTATCGTTGTTTCACGTTTGATTCACCCGATTGAAAAGCGTTTGCGCAGAAAAAAAGAAAAACCGCGAAAGAGATAGTTCTTCAAGACACTAAGATGCAAGTGTTCAGTCACAAAGTACAAGCGCGTGCTAAAGATAACTACATTTTTTTTTCACCAAACCTACACGTGGCTATATTCGGGTCGTGACTGGCGAGAAAGAACGTATTCACAAGTCTGTGCAAAAAATAACTTGACACTCGAAATGTCAGAAGAGACATTTTGGAAAGCGCAAAAAATGGCTAAATTGTACTCGTTCCGTGATATATTATTCATAACAAACTGGAAAAGTAACGACAAAAGTAACGTCGTTACTTTCATCGTTACCTTAGAAAAAAATAATAGAACTACAGTTACAAGTTACATTTTTAAAAAGTAACTCGTTACAGTTACAAGTTACCAAAAAAGTAACGAAATTACAGTAACGCGTTACTAGTAACGCGTTACTACCCAAGACTGCTTTCTAGGCTTGATTTTCGTGTAGACAACTATCATATCTACATTTGAACAAAAAATGAAAAAAATAAAAAATGGGTTTTTTGAGAAAATCAATTTCAAAAATGGTACTTTTTGGTTTTTGCATAATATTAACGTAAACGTACCGCAAAGGATATTTTATACAGCCAAGGCATTTTATAACAAATATAAAGAGCGTGTTTTGGGCTCTCCGTGGACATAAAAAATATCGGTGTAACCCAAGTAGATCGCCAGTAATTAATTGTCAAAGTTTGTCAACAATTGACCGAGGAGGTGTTTTTGACATTTTTACAGAAAAAAAGCAAAAGGCCTAAAATTATTTCATGGTATTGGAGCCTTTTAAATGTATCCACAGAGTGCTTGAAAAAAGTTAATATAATGTGGACTGAAAATCCATGGCGGAAGATCAAGCGAAACATCCGACCCACGACGGGTGTGAAAAACACTGCTTTTCGCCGCGGCCTCTTTAAAAATTCATAAGTCGAGAACGAAACATCCGACGAACTTGCGGTTTGTGTCGACTGCGGTTTTAGAAACGGCGCCATAACATATATTTTTTTCATCGAAATTAAAAATTCGACACTTTTTGCCTGCACGATTTGAGATGAAACCACCCATATATATATATATATATACAAAACTTGAAAGTATAAAACAGAGAGGACGAGGACGGGAACAGGACATCTTTGAAAGATGTCCTGTTCCCGTCCTCGTCCTTTTTGTTTTATACTTTCAAGTTTTGTATCTATTCACCAACACGCTCGTTTTCAATTGTAAATAAATAAATATATATATATATATATATATATATATATATATATATATATATATATATATATCGCGATACAAATGTATCGCGGTAGTATTTATCAATATTTTTTTTTTTCTGTATCGTGATGCAACTTTTCAACCAGTATCTATATTTCAGTTTCGGAATACATTTTTGGTGCATTGCCCGTATCGCGATACAATCCCGCGACAATGTATCTCGTTACGATATTCGAGAAATCAGCGACCCCCAAGAGAAAGCTCAAAGTACTCTTTCCTTTCTTCTTTCGTGCTTCAGAGGGGTAGGAGGTACAGTGAATGTGACCTTGAGGCTTCGTTATCAAGCAGACTAAGTTTTGTTTCGAACGTTATGACTCCGACATTGGTGACTCTCTTTCGTACTTTCCAAAGATAGCATGTCTTCCGGAGTGCTTCAGTTTGGCAACTATTTTTGTAGAAACAAAACGTTGAAGGCACTGTGGGTACTAGCTTTACAACTGTGCGTTGCTCTCCTAGCCGGCGAGCCCCATCTACTATGGCAATCAAAAAGCTTTCTCCCTCAGTATATCAGATTAAAAAGAAAATTCATTCCAATGCAAGGTCTTCAAGTGATCTGCAAAAAAAAAAAAAAAAAAAAAAGAAAATGTACCGACGTGGGACTAGAGGATGCTGACCTTTCGGGGTATTTGGGTAGATATAAAACGAATTTAGAGGTTCTTGTGACATTGCTTTGAAGGCGTACGTGCAATATATCTAAACGAGTACTGCACTGCATTATGGGTGGAAGGTATTTCCAATCTACTGAAATGACAATTTACATTTATATACAAAAATAATTTCGGGCTCGCGAACGCCCAAGTTTAACTTCAGTCTTTACCTCACAATTAATACGAGTTTTCTATTTTTTTTTTTTTTTTTACTGTAGGATTTGTTTTTTGCATTAGAAGTACAAACCCTGTCAACGAAGCCTGCCTATTACCCCTCTAAGCGTGCTCTTCATATACTTAAAAAAAAATATTTGCATGGTTCTATACTTTTTTCATTGTAAAAACGGTCTTCGTTCGTTTTAGTGTGAACTCGTGTTCGTTAACACTTGTGGAAAGCTTAATATTGTTCGCTAACATGAATTTTTTTTTTTTTTGCCCAAAGCGGCAGCAGCTGATCAACGAGCTTTTTTAAAAGCTACTAAAGTTACTATATGAGAAGATAAAATATGTAGCACAAAGTTGTTTCATTTCTGTTTTACAAATAGTAACTTCACGGATATAGAAACGTTCACATCACGAAATGGATATTTTTCTTAAAATGTTCGGGAGTATTAGTGCCCCGGCAAAATGTATTCCTGTATTTGTATTCCGAAATACTTTTTTTTTCCTTTCAAATGTATTTCTGATACCCATCGTGATACTTTTGTACGGCTGTATTCCTATATCAGCATTTTAGCAGTCTTGGTCATGTATCCCAGTATTTGTATTTCCAAATAAATTTTAGAGTATCCCCGCCCAACCTTCGTGCATGGCGTCGAGAAACAAAAGCGAGTCGCCGGCACATCTGTGCTTCGTATGACGCGTGGAATCCAATTCAAGGAACAGCTTGGCACGCGACATAAGATGAAGGGATGTCCTGGTTTCTCGCAGCCGCAACGCAGTCATGCGCACACAAACGGAAGTGTGCGTAGGGGCCTTTCGTGAGATCGGCGCTGCAGAACCCAGGATCCTGGGTTCAATCTCCACCCCTGCCCGTTTCGATCTGGATGAGCATCGTACCGGTGTGCTGTCGTGTATCACTACTGCGCGATGCACGTTAAAGACCCCAGGCTAGCGGTTGTACTGCACTGGCTAAATTTCTCATCTATAGCTGGGAGACTCGTCGCCCGTTGAGGCAGACCAAGTTCTAGGCTGTATAAACATACACACAACCCAATTTTTTTTCGTGAGATCGGGTTATTGTTGGCATGTTTGGATGCAATGGCTCATTTTTAATGGTTTACGTTGCAATGAAAAACGTAGTCCTGCAAAACTTTGCTGAACTACGAAAACTTTCTTCTGCGTACAGGTTTTCTAATTTGTGGTAATAGACAGTTTTAGTGGACCGTACGCTATAGCTTTGCGTACGCAAGGAAATTGCGGGTCGTGAGTGCGCATGCGCAGAACGCAATAAAAGGGCTAGCGTATTGCGTACGCACGCAACGCTGGGGATTTTGCGTTGCTGGCGGGCCTTGCGGGACGCTCTCGAGAGATCTCGGACCCAACGAGAGCGCTAGTTTCAAGATGGCGGTTGCCTCGACTGGCGCAGCAAGGGCGACGTGGTGTTTTCGAACTTGAATATGGTCAGCTGAACAATTCGAAATGACAAAAATCGTTAATTGTTCAGCTGACCATATTCAAGTATGTACCAACTAGCTCAAGTAAAACCTGTGTTTTCGAAGCTCTGTGTTACGTGAAATTGCGTGGTGTTCAGCTCGGCGATTCTTTCTGGGACGTACCGCGGTCGAATCAGATCGCCGTGCAGCTGATCCTGTCCACCGTGGCCTGTTTCCCCCTCCCCAATGGTGAGGAAAATCTTCTGCCTTGCAGAATATCGAGTCTGGTTGTCGGCCTTTAACAACACCCTCACGAGAAGAGCGGGCCGGGTAGGGGAATTGGTTTGAGCACCGTAGTTCAGTACACGTGGACCGAAATCTTGCCCTGCAAAGCCCTGCGATTTAGACCTCAATGCTATATAGGCCTTAAGGTCAACCCACTATTTTCTTTTCCCATCAGCCAATAAGAGCTCGGCATTCTGACATCATTGCAACCCCTGTGCAAGAAGCTGACGAACTTGCCCTTCGCATTTTGCATATTGAACGCGCCGCTATACTTTCCTTTGTGTTCGATCGGTTTAGTTGTTGGATAGCAAACCCTCAACAAAAACGAGCGCCGTGACGATGCAGCTTTGGCGCAACATAATTAATTCCATTGGAGTGTAGCGTTGGCTGCGGACAAAGTGAAAGTGAAACGTAGTAGAGCAATTTTATTGGCGCTCCAACAAAAAACCGGCGACCGACGTAAATACATTTTGGGGCGCCGAATGCTGAATACGCTTTACATTACTTGGAAGGATTAAGACGTTCCTCTTAAAACAAGTCTGAGCTTAAAGGAATATTGAATTAATTGAAACTTTGATGAGAACAAACATATCTCTTCGGGAAAACATTGTAAGCGCGAACGCAACCGATTCTACGAGTGTATGTGACCAATCAAATAGCCTCAAAATCGCAAGTCACTGGGCATTCTATATGCAAGGTTGTTTCAGCGATGATGGAACACGTAGGGACACGTAAAGACCATCATGCTATTGGGCCTTGGACAACGTTTGATTGGTTCCATCAGATCGTAGCCTTGGCTGCGTCCACACTTAAGGCACAACACAGTCTATCTTTATTGTCTTGTCAAGTTGTTGTCTCGAATGACGTCCTGGAGGAGCTTCACCGCGTCGCCTGCAGCTCCCCAAGACACGGTAATTCCGAAACCACCATGACCATAGTTATGAACAATGGGTAGCTGAAAAAAACAAAAAATAAAACAACAGCAACATAGGAACGTCACGAGCCTATAGACAAGGTCCCCGCAATTATACAGTGATTAGATTTAGGCTTTAACGCATGATCTACTTTATCAGTGAATTGTGCGAGGAAACCGTCACGAATAATCGTTCCGTTAATCCTTCCGCTAAATAGAGCGGGAAAATTATTTTAATGCGACGTCATATAACTTCAAATCACGTGACGTCGATTTCCCAGCCAAATTTAGCGGGTAATGTAGTTTAATTTTCTCAGTAAGTTTATCCAGGATATTTACGTCCTTAGATGCCGAAAATCGGCATCCCAAGACCAAGTCTTGGGATGCCAATTTTCGCGAGGTGGTTCTGCGAGACGGTAGTCGACACTAAACGCTGTCTTTTCTTCCCGATTTTTGTGGGAGCAATCAAGCTTGTGTAATTTTTTAAGAGGTGCCAAAATTTGATATGAGCTGTTTTACGCCTTTCGAAAATAACTGGTGCCTAAATTAGGCAATGCTCGGTATATTAGGTTTATAATATCAGCTATAGCGACGAAGTAACGTCAGCATTATATTGCAAAATGGTCATTACAAGACGCCTGGAGAATTCGGCATTTTTTAAATATACGCAGTTCGCCGACTAAAGAAATGGCGGCAAAGTAGATGAACAATTCACGATAAGGAAAGAGGGACATTTAAGACAAAACTTGTCTGTTTGTCTTAAATGTCCCTCTTTCCTTATCGTGAATTAATAACCAACACGCTCAACCATCTACATTACAGATGAACAAGTCCTTGAAAATTTAGAATAGCATAACTCTACAAAATATATTTAGCATAGAAGAGAACAGAATCAAGAATAATTTTAATCAAAATTTAAATAAATGCAGCTAGCCTAGCAGAATGCCAGCTAAAACTAATCACGTCTGAAAATAAGTGTTTTTGGGGAAAACGTCAATTTCTCACCCAGCCTTAAAAGGGGCGCTCAAGAGCTTTCTATAGCAGCTTGTTTTTGATGGCATATTGTTTGTCGGGCTATATCCGAACTGGTAAATACATATAACCAGTTCTATATAAAAGTTTTATGCCACATGTAAAAGGTTCGACACAATTATCTACCCTTTTACATACGACCAGTTCTAGATGGCAAGACGTCCTAGTCAACTCCCAGCAATAGAAATGCGCTGGCACCATTTTTTCTTCTTGTGGGAGCCATTCTCGGGTCCCCCCCAACTTCATAAAATTTGTCCCAAATCCCAAAAGTCACTATTATTGCTTTTTCTTTAATGCGCGGTGTGCATCATATTTTCACAGAAAACGTCAACTATTTGGGTTCATAAGACGTCATACAGCAATAATTGTTAGAAAACGCCGATTGACGGTGCCCCCCCCCCCCTCCCTTTCTTTGTGTCTGCTTCAAGGTGCAGAAAGCTGGACGTGTTGCAATTGTTGATTAGATTTTTAATCGGTAAATCGGCCCCCTATGAGCGTAATTAAGTTTTTTTAGGGTGCTTAGAGCTCGTATATTGAGTTATCACCATAAATGGACGAGCTCAAAATCCACTAGAGTGCCCCTTTAAGCCGCGGTCACACTGCTTACACATCATACGAACGACAGTCTGCAGACATTAGGGAGCTTTAGGGAACTGCGTTAGCACATCCGGTACGGTACGATGGGCCCCCCGGTGCTCACTGCGCATGCGCGAGTCTTATGCGGTAGCGCATGCGCAGTTCGTACCGGAGGGCCCATCGTACCGTATCGGATGTGCAAAAACGATTCCCTACAACTCCCTAGTATACCGTATTGGAAGTGCAAAAACGATTCCCTACAACTCCCTAGTATACCGTATCGGAAGTGCGAAAGCGATTCCCTACAACTCCCTAGTATACTGTATCAGATGTGCAAAATCGGTTCCCTAAAACTCCCTAGTATGCCGTATCGGAAGTACAAAAACGCTTCCCTAAAACTCCCTAATATACCGTATCAGATTTGCAAAAGCGGTTCCCTACAACTCCCTAGTATACCGTATCGGACGTGCAAAAACGGTTCCCTAAAACTCACTAGTATACCGTATCGGAAGTGCAAAAGCGGTTTCCTAAAACTCCATTGTATACCGTATCGGATGTGCTAAAACGGTTCCCTAGAACTCCCTAGTATACCATATCGGAAACGCAAAAGCGGTTTCCTACAACTCCCTAGTAAATTGTATATCGGATGTGCAGAAACGGTTTCCTAAAACTCCCTATTATGCCGTATCGGAAGTGCAAAAACGATCCCCTAGAACTCCCTAGTATACCGTATCGGAAGGGCAAAAGCGGTTTCCTTAAACTCCCTAGTATACCGTATCGGATTTGCAAAAGCGGTTTCCTAAAACTCCCTAGTGTACCGTATCGAAAGTGCAAAAGCGGTTTCCTAAAACTCCCTAGTATACCGTATCGGATTTGCAAAAGCGGTTCCCTACAACTCCCCAGTATACCGTATACGGATGTGCAAAAACGGTTCCCTAAAACTCCCAAGTATACCGTATTGGAAGTACAAAAGCAGTTTCCTAAAACTCTCTAGTATACCATATCGGATGTGCAAAAACGGTTCCCTACAACTCCACAGTATACCGTATCGGATGTACAAAACGATTCCCTAAAACTCCCTAGTATACCGAACGGAAGTGCAAAAGCGGTTCCCTACAACTCCCCAGTATACCGTATACGGATGTGCAAAAACGGTTCCCTAAAACTCCCAAGTATACCGTATTGGAAGTACAAAAGCAGTTTCCTAAAACTCTCTAGTATACCATATCGGATGTGCAAAAACGGTTCCCTACAACTCCACAGTATACCGTATCGGATGTACAAAACGATTCCCTAAAACTCCCTAGTATACCGTATCGAATTTGCAAAAGCGGTTCCCTACAACTCCCCAGTATACCGTATACGGATGTGCAAAAACGGTTCCCTAAAACTCCCAAGTATACCGTATTGGAAGTACCAAAGCAGTTTCCTAAAACTCTCTAGTATACCATATCGGATGTGCAAAAACGGTTCCCTACAACTCCACAGTATACCGTATCGGATGTACAAAACGATTCCCTAAAACTCCCTAGTATACCGTATCGGAAGTGCAAAAGCGGTTTCCTAAAACTCCCTAGTATGCCATATCGGATGTGCAAATGCGGTTCCCTACAGCTCCCTAGTATACCGTATTGTATGTGCAAAAACGGTTCCCTAGAACTCTCTAGTATACCCTATCAGAAGTGCAAAAACGGTTCCCTAAAACTCCCTAGTGTCTGAGGAACGTTTCTCTTCTGTTTGACAGTCCTATAACATTAGTAATACAAAACACTGTCTGCCGACATGTTCCAAGCCCACATGTATACGAGGCAAGCACGCTTTAACATGCTTGAGGAGGAATGTCCGCATGTAATTCTGCTATCATGTCAGCAGCGAACGCCGTGTCTTTTGTATGATGTATGAGCACGACTCCGGATTTACAGTTGGTCTGAAAACACCCCCCCCCCCCCCTTTACGAAACACCAAATTAAAAAATGTTTACACTATTTGTTAGATAATAGTCTTAGCAAACGCCTCTGAATTTTTTTATCCTTAAGCTATTTTATAGAGTAAGTAAAAAAAATTGTATAGAAAATTGCTGAGCTTCTGCATGAGTGAATGCACGCGTCATGTAACGTTTATTTCCCTGCTAAATTTAGCGGGGAAATGAATTGGTTTGTAGGTCACGTGACGTTTATTTCCACTCTAAATTTAGAGGAGAAACTAAATTGCCCTATAGGTGGCGTGACATCAGGTCACGTGACGTCAATTTCCCCTCTAACTTTAGCGGAGAAACTGAATTGGCGTGTAAGTAACGGGATATTAATTTTCCCGCTAGATTTAGCGGGGAAATTGAGTTCACGTGACCTACACTCCAATTCCTCTTCCCGGCTAAATTCAGCGGAGAGACTGAATTGATGTGTTGGTCTGTGACGTCCCATAATGCAACACTGCGCGCGTTGGATTATGGGACGTCACAGACCTACACACCAATTCAGTTTCTCCGCTAAATTTAGCGGAGAAACTGAATCGGTGTGTAGGTCTGCAACGTCCCATCATGCAACACTGCGCAAATTGCATCATGGAACGTCACAGGCCACAACTTCACGAAATGTTGCTGCACGAAATGCGGCTCCACGAAATGCGGCTGCACGAAATCTGGAGCATCTGGAGCAAAGTATTGATTCAGCTGCGCTGTACAATCAAAGGGCAACATGGACAGCGCGTAGAGAACGCGCGAAAACTAGGCAGCCAAAGTCGCACCGTCATTGGTTCAGGTCGGGGGTGGGGGAGGGGGGGCATCCACAAACACACACACATTTGGGTGTAAACAAGCGCACGAGGTGCGCAAAGAGCAGACGAACTCACGCCGCATAGTTCGCATTTAGAAAATGACAGTTGAAAAGTAACTAGCTCATCGCTGCGTTCCGGTGTAAATAAAATTAAGTTATTCTTACAAGTAGTGGCAGCCACTTACTGTTTTTCCCGACTTTTCAATTACGCGGTTCTCGATTTCCAGTCGAATAGGTTTTCTGTACGGTCTGAGTCCCACCTGGTGAGACAGGATTTTGGCATCCTGAAAGGTAAAATGAAACGCTGAAGTACAGTAGCCCAATTTTTTAATAATATCAAGCGAGCGTCGACCGCTGGGACGGCCAGCGCCATGTGCGGAGGCGTGCGGCGTGACGGGAGAGATTAAAGGAGTCATGAAACGCTTTTTCAACTTTTTTCTGTTTAGCTTTCCTCCTCAACTCATAAATCGCGCATTGTACCAAACAGTTCAGGAAGTCGGAAAGGGGGGAGTCCCCTCTTGCACGGAATCTCGCTTGTGTAGCCCGGACACAGCGTTTGTCCCCCTAGAAGATTAGCCCGTAGAAGCTCCTCCCACAAGTGTGATGCGCCTGTTTCAAATCTCTCCGCAGTCGAAAGAAGAGTTCACTGGAAACGCTCCTTGTTCCGCTTCAATGGATTCCCACTTGTCTCCGATCCCACTTTTTAAGAAAGCGACCTTTGTATTCATCGGAGAGGGAACCGAGCCCCTGAAAGCAGCCTTTGTATCCATCGGGGGGGAAGCTAATCCCCGAAGGTCGCGTTTGTTTCCGTCGGTGGGGGAAAACTTTATCTCCCTCTCGTGGCTTCCACAATGCTAAGTCAAAGTCGAAAGCTAAAGCAAATATATACAGATAGGCAAGACCCTCCTCGCGCGTTGGCCGCGACGTCACGGAAACGGTGGGACGCTATTGGATGCGAAGGTGGCGGAGGGATATCCGATTCCCTTTGAGGGGCATTTGCCGCTACCTTCTTAACCTGTAACTGACTATAGTTGCTTTCCCCACCCCGTTCACCCCGAAGTTGACAGTGCTGTGGAAGCTACGTGCTCGTTGGGCCAGCCACACATTTTCCACGTGATCACGCTCTCTCGCGCATACCGACCCGCAGAGAATGAGGTCAGGTGATGAAAGGGAGGCGGCTGATTGGTCCGGCAAGCGCGTAGCTTCCACCGCAATGTCAGCTTAGGGGTAAAGGGATATAGTGAGGTCCGGTGTCATGTGACGTGCGCTTGGGCCCTGGTGACGCGCTGCGGGGGCCCGGTTATGGTGGCTAGTAGCCCGGTGACGCGCTGCGGGGTCCGCGGATGTATCACAGTGAAAAGGCGGAGAGTTTACGAAGGGAAGGAGGTACGAAATAGTCCGCTATGTTTTGCAAATTTTTGTAGCGAAACTCAGGCTTCTGACTTTCTACCTTTGTTCTTTTGGCTCACTGAACGATGTGCTATTAGTAAAATCCCAATATAAATGGATTTACTCCAGCCCAAAAATCGTTTCATGGGTCCTTTAAGCGCGTGCACACAAAGCCCTTTCTGGTGGGCAGTCTTGTACACGTTACTAAAAAAAGTAATCTTTGACCTCTTTTATAGTTCGGCCACGATCGTGGCGCGCCCTCGCGGGAATCGCTCGAAACACTTTTGGTGGCTCTGGCACCGTCTCTCCGTCGTCCGCGCCAGGCCTCGTGCCTCCCGGTCCATGAGTTTACGTGTCTTCTCTGGTGGCGTTGTTCCGTCTTTCCCCATTCTGAACGTGTCTTTCTGTCTTCGTTTGGCGTGCATATTTTCTTCGAAATGGCTGAGAACGACCTGGAGGATTAACAAAAGCTACTGTCTACGATAAAGAGGACGTTGTTCGTTTTTATACCTTTAATGCCCGTGTCCCACTAGAGGGACAGAGAGAGACAAAAGACAGCGACAAGCCTCAAACCCATGCAGCATGCTCGCGATGGTACCTTTGACAGGCGTTGAGTCGTTCGGTGCTCGTGAAGTAAGCACGAGCGATTGCAAGCCTGTCAAAGATACCCTTGCGTGCATGATGCCCGTGTTTGAGCATAGCCTCTTTTATTCTACAAAGCCTCTCAAATCGTGAAAGACTCTGGTTTGAGGCTTGTCGTTGTCTTTTGTTTCTGTATGTCGCTCAAGTGGGACGCGGGCATAAGGGTTCATAGACATCCGACGCTGCGTCAGTTTCTACCATCGACTCGGAGCCACTTAATCGTCACTTCGGTATCGCGTCTTGCAATTGGCTACTAAAAGAGGGGTCCGCTTTCAAGGCAGAGTCGCAGAGTGTTATGTAAGGAAAGTAGTGGTGACCAGTTTCGATACCGACCCAACCATCTGCCCTGTGCGGAGCTTGTGAGCCCCGTTTATAAGGCCCGGCCACTACAAACAGCTGATTTTCCTCCCCTTAGTTGCTTAAGTTATTCGAGCTTATTGCGTCCGTCACTTAGCCGTCCTGTGTACCGCGCGAACGCACGAGCATCACCGTATTCGGGAATTTGTACACAAACTAGGGCGGTGTGAAATCCGGGCGGTCTTGATATCGCGAAGGCTCGCCGGCACCAATAAAAAGTAAGGAAAGGTACGTTATAAACAATCTCTCTTTAAATTCAGCACGTTTACGGACCTTCGACAAAGTGAGCCCAGCAAACAAAGGAGTTCACGGTTGCTTGCCAAGGCATTCCATCAGGGTTCTGTCTCCGTGAAGCTTAAATTCGTTTCCCACACTTTAAATGTTTTTCCAGCGACTGATATTTTTATCTGTTTTTTTTTTTTTTTTTCTCTTTTCACATGGCAAGACGCGAATGTCTATAGCGCACGCCTGAAAGACGGAAAGCTTTATCGTGTCATTCTTTACTTGAGTGCCGTGTATGGCGTGATTACGTCACACAACCTGGCGTGCACATTTACTATTAACGGGAAAATTGTGGAGAGTGTAGGCGAGCTGGTGTAAGTTGAACATGGTGGTAAACTTGATATACGAATATGCATCGAGGACATGGGCAGAAACAGGACTTCTTTTAAGAAGTCCTGTGTCCTTGATCTTTTATCCTTTCATGTATTCGTATCCATTCGCCAACACGCTCATTTTTAAGCATTAAACCTGAGACTGGTGTAGGAAAAGGAAAACGCAAAAAAAAAAAAAAAGAACAGGCATCGTCTCAAGAGACGTTGCCTGTCCTTTTTCTATCTTCTTTTGCGTTTTCGTTTTCCTACCCGTTTCCGGCTTACCATCATGTTCCGATTTACTGCATTTTAGTTAAAATCAGAATGTCGCGCCGTCACATTGATGATCCAGCCGGCTGACACGGGCGATTCGCGTCCTAGGCTTTTGAAACCAGGGCAAAATGGCGGGGTGTTTAACATCGAGTCTTTTTGTGCACCACCCGCAAAGGCTGCTGAAACTCCGTGAAGGCTTCCATTTGAACCATTTTTGCTTTTATTTGTGCAACCTACAGCTGCGCGGTGGTGAGGCGCGACGACTATGAAGCCAAGCCGCGAGAATAGCGGAGGAGTCAAGCCGAACCAGCACTGTCTGTGCGACCGAGCGGACGAGAGAGCCACCAAAAATGGCGCCTTTCCCTTTCCTCCCTCTCTCTCAGGGTCGGCGCATGCGCCCAGCAATCTCTGAAAAAGGTCAATTACTATTACTCTTGACTAAAAAGTATTCGATTAGATTACTTGATTACTCGACGGCAAAAGTAATAGGACATTACTTAAAGAAGTAATCGTTACTTTTCCGATTACTTTATTGTGTGAAGACACATCTTTAGCGCTCATAACAATGAACTACTTCCAACCTATATTACACATTTGCACAAGTATTAAAGAAGAAAAACTGGCTCCCTCTTTGTGGTCGTTGCACCTTCACAATGCGGACACAAGCATAGAATTCGTTTGATGACGTTTAATGATTTGGGCGTTCGCCAGTGTGTGTGTGTGTGTGGGGGGGGGGGGGGGGGGGAGGGGGAGGGAAGCGGAGGGGGTTCTAGATCTTGTTAAGCTTGAGCAAGTGTTGTCGCTCAAAGTTTGCGTCGCTCATTTTATTATTCACATGTGGATGAGCTCGCATGTTATACAAAAGAGCAGCAGCTCCAGGATTTGAAACGGATAATGTGTAGTACCCATTAACGGAAGAGATCGCCCGACCACTTCTCAACTCGAAACATTGCTTGTCACAAAGACCACGTAGGGGAAATGGGGAAGTATTTCAACTGCCTTTGTTATATTTTGCATCCGCTTGAGGCATTCTTCGGTTCTGGTTCTTCCAAAGTCTTTTATACTGGGTTCTACGGGCTGCCAGTAGGTACCCTAAGCAGGATCTTTTTTTTTTTATTTCTGTGTGTGTGTGTGCGTGAGGGGGCTAGTTTGAACTAGGGAGCCTTCATGTGCGCAAAGCGCACATGAAGGCTCCCTAGTTTGAACGAAGGACTCACAAAGCTACATTCTGCTTCCTCAAACTTCGCCCTGAATGGCCTTTGTCACGCACTGTGGCTTCGGACATTCCACAGAAACTGTACATAGAAAGAGATTGACCTCGTTTCCTACAGCTCTGCAAAAATTTTTCTTTTTTTCGTTCGAAGAAAACAACAAAAAATTTTATTTTTGTCATTTCATAAAAAAGGCGTGTGCCCCGGGGGGGGGGGGGGGGGGGGGGGGTTTCGTGGAAAAATTGTAACGGTTACAAGTAATTTTATTACTTCAAAAAGTAATCCGATTACTCTTGTGATTACTGCCTAATAAAAGTAATCCACTGATTACAAAATTACTCCAAAAAGTAATCGATTACAAGTAATTTGATTACTTGTAATGCGTACGGTACAAGTCTGCTGGTGGGAGTGTCGTCTGCTAGGCTATTCCGTTGACCGCACACAGCCCCTGCTCCGTGGCAAAGAAGGGGAGGGCGTTTGCAATGTCGAAGTGCATCGCGGATACGTCCCTCCTCTTGGAATGCGTTCACAATCCTGACGGTAGCCTGTATAACCCCGACTGTTGTTGTTATATCCCTTTGCGTCATACCGCCCATCGACATTCTCACAACACGTCCCCGTGATTCTATAGGCACTCCAGTATAGGTAAAAAAATGTGCGCGCGCTCGCTGGTCAGAACAAAAGTGTGACTACCCGGCTACATAGGCTAGATGACGACAACAACAACGCAGTTGATAATACAAAACACCAAGCGGAAACCCTGTCCATACTCCGTTTCACTTTGTGTTGTACCGCAGCCGACGCTACGAGCCGTCTTGGCCAGTCCGTCGCTAACTGCACGTGAAAGCACGGTGTCACGAGGCAGGGTGAAAGCACTGGATTGGTTTGATGGCTCGCAGCATTGTTTGCGGTATACGATTTAATGCATCGTTGCATTCAGTTTGTCGCGTCACCGTATTTTTGATTTGTTTTTGGTGTTCACAAAAGTAAACGCAAAGATGAAAAAAAAAGTAAATTAAACTCGATATGAGGCACGGTTTATGCCACGCCTGAGCAGTATCGAAAAAAAGAAAATAAAAGCAAGCGCTGTTTTAATCCTTGCCTAAAGGCGGTTAGCTGTGCCAGCAGACAATGAACAGGGGCTGTGTGCGGTCAACGGAATAGCCTAGCAGACGACGCTCGCACCGGAAAGAGCTTTGTGCGCACGTGCCTAATCACTCCCGTGTCGCCGCATTTCTCTGCGGCACAGCGCTGGCCGTCCCGGTGGTCGACGCTCCATTGACATTATTTAAAAATTTGGGCCACTGTACATATCTAGGGTGCTCCGGAGAATAAATATACGTTGTGCAGTCACTTCTGGCAACGATGAACGGTTTTACATCCGAACGAAAGATGATCTCTTTGGTTCGGATGCTAAACCGTTAATCATTTCCAGAAGTGACTGCACAACGTGTATTTTTGTTTGTCCGGAGAACTCTAGAAATAGACTTTTAGTCGAATTACTCACGCACCAAGGAGAATACTATAAACGTAATAAAAAAATGCACACGCTCGCCTTATCAGTTTAAAATATTCAAAGTAAACAATAAAAAAAAGAGCAGAGACAACACATATTAATTTGTTTCAGGTTTCCGTTTGCGAACAATGACTGCGGCAGATACTAGCACCTGTAACGCTGTAACTGCTCGCAGCATGCTAATTTGGTGCTTGGGTAATTTAGCGAAAGGTCTATTGATACTTCCCTGCATGATAACAGAACGGTCGCCATGCTTCAAATTTACTTTCAAATGACTTGCAACGAAGGAGGAGTTCGGATCAAAACCAAAGTGCGCGAGGAAAAGAAATGTTACGAATGCTTTATTTGTTTTCTGCGGCGCTTCATTTTATTTTATTTTTCGGTTATTTGTGTTTGCTACCGGAGAACAAAGAACGCGCAAGCTTACCTTTAAGCTCGGTACGAGTTCCAGGCAATTAGTCCAAATAGTTTTGGCAACTTCTGGATCAGGAACAAGCGAGGATGCTCCAGGTACAGAGCTTACACCCAGGATGACGTAGTCGACCCTGCCAAAAATGCATCTCTATAGGAACTAATTTGTTCTGTTCGACTTTGCGACAGTGTCCCCAAGTATTCTTTATCGGCGTGCAAAAAGGAGCTCGCAAAACGATGTATATCAATGTAAATAAAAACTTATTAAGGAGATGAACAATCAAACTTTTTTTATTTCTAATGAGGACAAAAACCTAAGGCATGACGGTTGTCTTCGAATGAGTCAATAGAGTACATTAATGATGCTGGCCTTTCTATGCATATAAATTAATGCTGAACCCATAGTCACCTTATAAGATATGCTAACCATGGGTTTGTTTAAATTACGTCGAAGAATTTGGCAGTCAACCTTGGTTCTTCATGTTTTCTTTTAATGTTAGTCAGTGCCCCGATTTATTCTCGTTCCATGGTTCCATAAAACCAAAGTCGAATTGAGTTTGAATTTCTACCAGGTACTAGTCTAAGCGATATTGATAAGCAACAACACGTGTGTGGGCAGGTTGCCATCTGGTTTTGGAAAGAAAGTATCATTTAAAAGGGCATAATTTTGGCTAGTTAGCCATTCTCCTACCTGACGTGATTTTTAGTGCATTTCTCTATCTACAGGGTAATTTGTACTCACGTCGGACAAACGCTACATTTTTTCTCAACGAAGGTTGCATGCTTGATCCATGGAGCGGAAACCTGCAATTTATGGTGAAGCAAATGCCAATGTTTCTGATCAATTTATTTAGAATTATCAGTAAACCGAACATCGGTGTGTCAGAAAAAAATGACACAGAGCCAAAGATTAATATACGTTTTTTACCTTAATTGTCTGCCCTTGAACGGGGATGACATCAGGATCAGGGACCAGAAACGATGCCCCAAGTCCGGTACAGTTTACGATGGCATCGTAGTCATCAGCAAGCTTTAGAAATGCAACAAAATTTGCAACCACTTAAATCGCTTGCGATGCCGTAAGCCGAAAAAATGAAGCGTCTGTAAAAAAAAATTAAGCTATTTTGCATAAATAATTGAACGTTTAGACAGCAGGAAGTTTGCCAGCCGCAATGGCTGTCTGGTGTCACCGCTGTATATTAAGAATTTAGTCAGGGCAGCACCACTGCGAGCCTGGGGTGTTTAACCTACACCACGCAGTAGGGATACATGGCCGCATCCCGTATGATGCTCATCCAGATCGCATAACAAGCAAAGATGGAGATTGAACGCTATTTTTTTGCTCTATGTGTTTCAGGCATATCTCACTGACGTTTGGAAGCACCGTCTCATGGGCGACACGGTTTTGTTATTGGTGTGTGTGTGTACTCAACACTTAGATGGCAAAGTGTCTGTACGTCATCTACATTGATCGATTGAGAGACACAGATTTGTCAGGACTACCGCTTCAGTGTTCGGCTCGAACTCGCGTTAAATCTAGGAAGTGTTGATCGAACGAGAGACTCAGCCGTAAGTTGAAGAAGCGCAATGTCAAATCTGTACCCTGCTTGCTACCGAGGTACACACTTAAAAAAAGCTAGTCAAATGCTGGTAACTGCAATAGTTACTACCTTTTTCTGGTCGTTACTACCCTTTACTACTTACTACCTCAAACGCGCGAAATATAGTAAAAAGTTAGTAAATGCAGCCGTCACTACGTTTCTTTTTGACTGTTACAACCTTCTTACTAGCTATTTACTACCACAAAGGCGCTAACAAAATGACGGCGTCCGTTGCATCCCCGATGTCCAGCGTTATCGACGCACTTACTGCTTCAGAACGCAGGGGCAGGTATCTGCGATGGGTGGCTGGCTAGCAGACGCGCACGCGTAAAGGCCCCCGCCTATCTGCCTAGCCTTGTGACGCAGCCAGAGTACCACAGGTTTTCGCTAATAAAGATTATTATTATCATTATTATCCACAAATTATCGTAGCATCAAGTATTGTAAGAGGGGACATGTTTTGTCCCCTCTTACAAGAGTTGGAGCTGACTTTATAACTATCACAGACTCCGTTCCAGCACGTCGTGGAAGCCAGCGGCCCAGCGCTGGCGCGAGCGCAGGATGAATGGATAGATGGATGTTAATGGCTATACCCTTTGAAACGGGTGGTAGCTTGCGCCACCTAGCCGAAGTCTAAAAAGACAAACGTATTATTCCTCCCTTCCTTCTAAGACCAATTTTCTCCCCTAACTATCACCAGGCAGTGTGGGATATCACCAGGATGACCTTCGGAGGATCGGGCAAAATAACTAAAAACATCACCTTCCCCCCTATTCCCCCCGACGAGGTAGTCACCAATTTTCCTCTTGTCAATCCTTGCCCGTGTTACCTCAGCACCGGACCCACTGGGAGACAGGGTTGATACTTTGGGCCGGAGCCACGCGGGAGGAAGTCCCAATTTTTCTCTGTTCCGCCTGACCCCAGCTGTGCTAGTCAGTTGTGCATCCTTCAATTGTCCCTAGATAATTTCCATCAATCTTTTAATCCCCCTTTTGTGACTGTAATCCTTTTCTCTTGCGTCCTTCCATCGTCGCCAGTAAAACCCAGTGCCCCGGCCAAATCCGTTACTCCTTTAGGCAGGGCAGGGCGAAGCCCCTTGCACTTCAAAACCAAGTGCTCTAGACTCTCGCTCTCATTATGGCAGGCGACGCTTAATGTGTCTGTCTCCTGAAATTTAGCCCTATACGTCCGCGTCCTCAAAGCTCCCGTTCTCGCCTCGAACAGCCAAGAACTTCGCAGTGAATTGTCAAGCACATTTTCCTTTCTTATGTCTTGCTTTTGTGGCCTGTACACCACTAGAGCTGATTTCTCCTGCATTCTTCCCTCCCACATTTTCCTCTCTGTCTCTTTCACCGCCTTTTCCACTGAATAGTCTGCTCAGCCCCATCAAAAGTGTGTAGGTATTTAAATGTAAAGGCCCATTCAGATACTTCCGACTTCTTAAGATCGAGTGCCTTGGAACTTCTAGACATCTCTCACGACGAGAGGACACCGGCGCCATCTATTGGGTGGCAGTGGAAACTTGGCGGTCCGCATATTTTCTATTTCTCTTAGGCATCATCCTTTCTCTATTGGCTCGAAATACCTTTGTCAACGTTATAAACTGGCCTTTCTTATAGGTATTACGCAGATTTGACCTCGAAAATCCCGCAAAACCTTCGCTTTTTTTTAAATTCAGTTCCAGGATCACCGCATAGATGGCGCCAGCGTGCCAGTGTGTTCTACCGTCCTAAGAAATTTTAAGAGGTTTCAAGGCCCTCGGTTCTAAGGAGTCGCAAGTGTGTGAACGGATCTTAAGCTTTCAGGTTCCGTTTGTCCATTTTGTGTTTAAACTTTTTATGTATAAATACTTGAACACCTTCCGTGCCCTACCGCGTATCATCCATATCATCCAACCTTTGTTCAAATTTCAACTTACTAATTGCCTCTCTGCTCTCAAAAGACGACCATCCCATGTCCCCCTGTACTTCCTCATTCGGTGTCTTTCCATGTGCTCCCAGTGCCAATCTGCCTACGCTTTTTGTCGAATTTCTAATCCTGATTGAACCCCTGATTCCATGCACAGTACACCATTGTCAAAAGGCAGTCCTGATACCATCACTCCTTTCCATATACCTCTGACCTCTTCACATCTATTATAGTTCCATTGCGCCTTGTGGTTTATATTGGATGAATTTCTTTTCCCTTTTCTAATTATATTTTCCTCAAGTTCCCGTAGACATTTCCTTCGCTCATTCAGCCAGACTCCCAGATATTTGTATTTTCCTAGATGGTCTATTACAATGTCTTGTATCCTGAGGAGCTCCCTCTTTTCGTCGTTAAACAACATTACTCCAGATTTGTCACTACTAAAACTCATGCCCAAGGTGTTCTCCTCCTCTCCACGTATTCCAGCTAGTTCCTGTAATGTATCCTGGTTATCCGCCATAAGTACTATGTCGTCCGCACACATCTATCCTGGTATTACCTCTAATACATTTGTCCCTCCTTCCTTACACCTCACATCAAAACATAAGTTGCACTGCCCTAATTTATTTTCCATTTCACTGAGATATATTATGAAGAGCAGAGGTGGGAGTGGACAGCCCTGCATGAGTCCTCTTTTTATTGCTGCGGGTTGTGTAGTTTCTGCTTCCCATGTTCTAACCACTTTATTGTCTGTGTACACCTGGTGAAGAAACCTAACCAAATTTGCATCTAAATTATACTCCTTCAGCTGTTCTCGATTGGCCATGCGGCTTCTGACTTTCCTTCTAGTTTAGATTCTTTTGGGAGCGTTTATATTTTCACTTTAGTTTTAATTGGGATGAAAATAGCCACTTAGCACGAGATAAAAACGTTGCCAAAAACAAGAAAGGTACGTACATTCTGTTTTTGAATTATTATTGTATTCTTTAAACCAGGGTGTCGAACCGGAACCGAACCGAAAACCGGAACCGAACCGGTATTTTTTCCGGAACTGAACCGAACCCGAACCGTTATATTGTTATTGCGATGAACCCGAACCGGAACTGAACCGGAAAAAAAATAACGGTTACCGGCTCATGTCAAAACGGTTCGGCCACGCGCTGTTGACAATGAATGTGCTATCAATGCCATTTGTTTTTTAAGTGCCGTCAACTGACGCACACCTCGCTTACATATTTTTCTTCTCCACTCAGTCTTAGGAATATAAACGCTGCGTCCATGAATCTTGACAAACGCTGCATTCATGAATCTTGACATAGGAACCAGCATTGCGCTGGTCGCGGCTTGCACGGAAGAAAAAGAATTGGAAGGCTGTGCAAAAAAAAAAAAAAAAATCGCGTCACGGAATTTTATTTTTCTGCAATCTCGTAAATCCTAAATGCTGCTGTGTGCTCATTTCATAACACGTTTCTAGAACGCGCGAGTTCTTGAAGCTTGCTTCCATCAGAATGAGAAAAGAAAAGGCTGTGGAGTTTGATAATAATGCATCCGGTTTCGTATAGGCACTTAGAAGCTAACATATTTGTGAGACAGCGAACTCTTCTATTTTAATATTTATCCTATTACGTCCTTCTGGCGTTGCGTTCGGTGAAGTATTTTTCATATTCCGTATCTTGTTTAATGAAAACTTCTTTAAAGGGATACGGAAACAAAAATTGAAATATTCCGATTTCGTTCGGAAATGAGTCAAGCATGACGGATAATAACCGTAAATGATAATCACACGTTTGTAGTTTGAACGATTGGCTATATTTTTCGTTCCAAACGGTACACTCGAGCAAGCGCTCGAAGAGAAGCGAACGGAGAGCGCGATGCGTCATGGGATATCCGGCGCAAACAAAAACAGAAAGAAAAGATTTCCCGCGTTCGTGGAGTTGCAAGGCAGGCGTGGTTATGAGCTTTGCCCTTGGTGGCGTTGTCAGCGTTGTGATGGTGTCAATAGCGTCAGCGCGTTACAATCGAGCCGCTAGAAGTGCCCGTGGGGTGACGAGCGTGTGGCTGGCCCAAGGAGCACGTAGCTTCCACAACACTGTCAGCTTAGGGCTGAACGAGGTGGGGAAAGCAACTTTTGTTCGAGTTTTGAGCGACGCGCTAATTTTCTAGGGGGAGAATGGCTATGTCCGGTTGCACGAACGAGGGTCCGAGAAAGAGGGGAGTCCTCCATTTCCGTCTTCTTGAACCGTTTGGTACAATGCGCGACTTGTGAGTTGAGGAGGAAAGCTAAGAAAGAAAATGTTGAAATACCAAGGAGCGGCGCTGCTCCGAAGGAAACTGCTACGTCACGACTACGTAGCAGTTTCCACAACGTTGCTAGACTACCTCCTAAATAGGCTCCGCATGCAATGTGCACCAGGTGCACATTGAAGATCGTTTATTTAGCTTTAAAATTAGTTTTCTTGTGCTTTTCAACGGAAGACTGGTGTTTTTGAGGTTAGGGTGCAACATGCAACACATTAAAGCC